CACCATTGTTTTAACCATAAAACTAGTGCAGTCAGAACAAGCTTGAGGAAAGAGGATGGACAGGATTAAGGATGAAGTAGGAGGAAAAGAGTATTTTATATGAAAGTTACCCAGGGGATTGAAGAGGTGAAGGAGGATAATAAATCAAATAGATAAAACATTAAAATAAGGAGGTACTAAAGGACTCGTTGATATACTTAATCATAATTTTTTACATTTTTATTTAGACTAAGACAGATTTCAAGTTAAGCAGCGAAAGAATAAATGCATTTGCTTTTCTATAAATATCTAAAAGGCACGTTGTGCATTTTTAATCAGACTCTCTTTTCTCTGATACCCCAGATTAAGCTCCAGTGGAACTAAAATACCTTCAAAATATTAAGGGGAGGCAGCACACATGAGGAGAATGGTGCTTTGTTTAGCTAAGACCGAAAAAAAGAACCGAATTAGAAGATTAAAAGAAACTCTGACAACTTTCTCTGAGTCAGTTCTTTACAGTTATTTAGGGCTTTCAGAATATAGAAGGCAGAATGGAAATTAAATTAGTTCCCACTACAAGATGCTGCAACCACCATGTTCTGCTATGGTGTTTACTGTGATGAGCCATGTTGCATTTCATTTAAGGGTTACAGAGAAGAAGTGGAAGAAAAACCCGATTAATAAGAAACTAGAAGTCTCTAATTGCAAAAAGGAATCAAAATTGCAGAGTACTAAATGGACTTTTTAATTCAGAAGCCATAACATCTTTTATGCGTGCACAATCCATGCAGGATGTCCAAGTGCTCTTCCATACTAAATTATCTCAGCAAATATAACCATCTATAACCACCACTGTTCCCAACATCCTCAATAAGTTGTTACATTCATGCTGATTTTGCAGATTTTCTACCTTAGTCAGTTAAATAACATGCTGCTGTTATTTCAGCACATCTCTGTCATGCTGCTATTTTTCTCACACATCCATTACTGTAAAAATGTCCACATCTGTTTACTGATTATTTATTCTCCAGATGCACAGTAGTTATTTTGTAAAAAACATGGTACAGCACCATATTTTATTTGTTGATTTTCTTAACTCTGTCACTTATTATGTTATTTTTATACACTTTTTTTATGTGTGTTACCCCTTTTGCTATAATAAATTGCTGTTGTAACACCATAATTTCCACAGTATTCCACTCTATGTCTCTTATACAGATCTGCTTAAATATCGAACAGCAGCATTCAGTCGTGCAGCCAAAGACAAACTATGAATGTATAAATTCCATTAAGTGTTAATGTTGTATCAGTGGGGGAAATATTAAAAATAAATCTCTGATAAAATCTGTTTCTAATTTCCCTCTGTTTTTCTTTCCTATAGCAACTTCCCTGGTTGGTCTTTTAATATCAACACTTTTACATACAGTTTTAATATCCATTTTACAGTAGATGTAAAAGTAAATTATAATTATATATATATATATATATATATATATATATATATATATATATATATATATATATATATATATATATATATATATATATATATATATATATATATATATATATATATATATATATATATCATAATTTAAAAGTAATCTTTGTGCCATTTAATTGAAAAAAGAAAAGAAGAAAAAGAAAAAAAAAGAAAATATATATGTATAATTTTCATTTTTCAATTAAATGGCACAAAGATTACTTGAAAATGATGATGCAGGGGACACTGGTTAAAGTTTACAACTTTGAGGCAGGTGTAAACACAGGAACAAAAAGCTCTGCAGACATAAGGAAGAGTGGAAAGTTTTTAAAGCTCATTAATCTATTTAACGCTGAAACCAAGCCTTTCTTGTTTGGGTAGGTTCCAAGGGATCAATAGAAAACTCCACCTGTCACCACTCTCATTTTTTCTGCAAAGTTAACTAACAACAAATACAACAACTATGTGAATCGTTAGCCATTTCAATTTGAATAAATGATATAAAACTGTTTGTAACACTTAACGTTTTATGAATTTTCTACTAGCTGCAAAGGCACCAATGTTGGATCTTTAATTCTGGTGTAATCTAACCATCTCTTGTCCCTGCAATCACTGGCAGAATTTGATGAAGTCACGTCGAACACTGACTCAATAAATGGAAGTCTTTATGGCAGGTTATTATAGGGCGCTTGATACCACTTTGTGGAAGGTCAATGGCTGGGTTCGAACTAAAGCGTGCAGCTCCAGCTGTAATCACTCCACTCGATATGCTACAGTAATTGCCGAGCAGGGAAGCCGTCTAGGTGAGCAAACATTAGCCTCAGGGGGATATAGGCAGGGCCCCAAATACGTAGAAGTTGTCTGATAGAAATGACAGAAACATTTGGGGGCTGTTTGCTAACCCCATTAAAAGTAAAGAGAAACTAGTGGATCAGACCATTAAACCAGTGCATGCTGGGAGCTTAGTTAGGCTGCCAAACAACAGTTTGCTATCAAGACAATACTGTCTGGGTATTTACCTGATGAAGGGGAAAAAAACAAAGCTTCAAAATCTTTTTTTTTTTTTAACATCTTTAGATACATTTTTCGCTTTAATCTATCAGATTAATTTGTCATTTATAGAACAAAATACATTTATTAGTTTAGTTTTTTTAGTTATAAAATGTTCAGATTTCAAGATAAACCTCTACAAGAAAAAAACAAGGAAGTGACTATTATGTCATGACATAAGGCATGGGGAAGTGGCTCAGTGCTATCGACTTCTTTTAAAATTTAATTTGTTTTCCAGAAATGAGAAGCTGGATTATTTTGTTTCTTCTGCTTTCTGACCTGCAAAACACCACTTTTTTTTTTGTTTTTTTATGTATTTACAACACTGTGTACTAACTCTATTATTTGATATCTCCAGTACTAAAGTCCACATTGAAATGATCAAAACTCAAGTCATAGCTGATCTCTGATTGGATTAAATGCACAGCAGTTTGATAACAGATTAGTGGGTGATTAAAACTTTTAGCTTTGACATCTAAGAAGGGCAGATAGAATACAAGATGTGTTACATTAAGAAAAGATTACAAATAGCTGAACCCAAACTTGATAGAAATTATTTCCACATTTAAATACATATCTAATAAATTATTGAAATAATAATGTAGTTACCTCTTTTGAGCTGGTCTTTTGGCCTGTTAGCTTATTCAATTCAATTCAATTCAGTTTATTTCTATAGTGCCAATTCACAACACGTCATCTCAAGGCATTTTACAATAAACCAGATCATCCAGTCAAATTGATTCAGTTTTCTATCTAAGGAAAACCAGTTGAATGCAATCCCTCACACTAAGCATGCTTTTAGCGAAGGTGGAGAGGAAAAACTCCCTTTTAACAGGAAGAAACCTCCAGCAGAACCAGGCTCAGTGTGAGCAGCGGTAAGCAGAGACAGCAGTTGCTTACGGGCCCACAACCTCTTAGGGGCCCCATCTCTGATAGCTGGTGGGCCCCCTACGCAAATCTAGACTAGGACGTCTCTTTGCAAATGTAATGGTGAAAAAATTTCCTCTTAAACCCACCTGATACTGAAGTGACTGACTGCACCGCACCATATTTATACCGCAACACATGCCAGATTTCAACATGATGGTGAGCCGTTTAAACACGACACCAATAGCAAAGCAGACAGAGGTACTTTTAGATTAGATTAGATTAAACTTTATTGCCATTACACAGGTACAGGTACAAGGCAACGAAATGCAGTTTAGGTGTAACCAGAAGTGCGATAGCAGCAAGTGCAGGATAAATAATGGTTCTATAAATACAGGACATGGGTATTTCTACTGAATAAATATAGAGATGAATACCATTATAAACAGAATATTACTAATAGATTTGTCCTATAAATATAATATATAGATAACTATAGTTACTATTTTAATAACTGTGTAAAGTTCATTAAATGGTTGGTAAAAAATACACTCATATAATATGTTTCAAACCGCAATAAAGATCTTAAAAGAACAATGAGCGTAGATTAAAGAACCTAGAACGTATAGTAAAACCATAACCGTTACATATGTGTTAGATACCAAAAAGATAAGCATCTCCCTGAAATTAGTTTTTGGAACTTGGGAAGTCTGCAACATGTAGTGGTGCGCCAATGAATTGTTATATGTGATCATATACTACTGAAAATTGCATAACTGTATTTTCTTGGCCGATTTATGGAACTGTAGCCGTATCCTGAGCCTTTTTCACGCCTATTGTTGTGTCGTTATGCCATTCCTTCCACTGGAGGATTAAGTGGCACAGCAATCATAGGAGTGGGTTGATTGTTAATGCCAGGACAAAGTCTAAAAGCAGTTATTTGGTGAGATAAATAAATAAATAAATAAAAAAGATTTTGTGCTATCCTTGGAGAGATGCATGCCTCCTTTTCAGTGAGATAATCCAAACATACCCTGAGCAGGAATAATGTTGGTATAAACTTTCTGTTGGCCTGAATAATGTATTTATAGCCTTGTGTTAGAACTGAAAAGTGCATAAAAACTCAACATTATTTCCTTTGTGGAGCATTTTTTTAATGACGTTTATCTTTTAATGGCTGATTATGTGCCCCCCTGGAAGGATTCTTGATGCCAAATAGAAATAATAATCATTTAAAAGTGCAGATTGCAGCAGGAACCCCACTTTATACGTTCTGAATGAGTTAATGAATGACCTCCTGTCTGAGGGGGCATATGAAACCTGTTGGTCTTGGCAGTGAACAGACCCTCACTACAACAGCAACATGACCTGACTGTTTCTCCATGCATCAACATGTGTGTGACCTAGATAGGCAGCAGAAAGAGAAGACAGCTGCTTCATACTTTTTTCTTTTTTAGGATGAACAGTAGTTACAGTGAAGGTCAACCAAGTGGAGGAAATACAGCCTCTAAAAGAGCATTTCTCGTTTAGAATGAGGGGGGAAAAGTAGTTTAATTTCACAGAACAAATACAAGTTATGATCTTTATATTTCCTCAAGAAGTGTCCTTGTGTTTGACTTACCTGCTTCAGATGCGCCAGAGCTCCGCTTTCTGCTTTTCTCAATTTCCTTCCAGGTGAGAAGAGCAGGATAGAGGGCAACTTCTACCTTCCTGTGCTTCTGAAAAAGCTCAGAGCAAATGATCTGGGTTTGGTTCTCCATGGTGTCACTAGCTGTCCTTGTAAAAACAGGTTCATTCCAACTTTGTTACGACCTGCGCAACGAGACGCGTCCAGCGCCTGTTTGTCTTTTAGCGACTCCGGCTGCGTCCTCACCTACAGGCTGAGAGACGTCAACAAAGATCGTAGCAGAGAGATGACTCACTTCGCTGTGTCAAAATAAAACGAGTTACTTTCGGTTCTGATAACCTCTCTCACACACAGCCAGAGGCGTAGCCAGAATTTGTTTTATAAGGGTGGCCAGGCAATTAGTAGATAGGCACCAAAACCTGTTCCAACAGGAAAATTAACAAGCAAAACATCCATATTTTCTAAATAAAGACAAAACTATACTTTACCACAGTCTTTGTTAACAAATAGACGAATATATTTATAAATCGGTGCTTTATAGGTATAGTGGATAAAATTCTTTCAGGTTTATGTTTTGGGCGAACATCTTTTCCATTGCCATTACTTACCTACTTTTATCAATAATCATTCTGCATAAAAATCATATTTACAAGTACTGATATCTACATAAATCGATTATTTAATAAGTTTTTATTAGAATATTTATTTATCTATGATTTCACTGAAGACTCCTTGATGACTTGAAGAGACACATTATTTTCTCTTTACCCCATAAAACAAAAAATGTATTTCTGCTTGAATTCTGTACTTATCATTATTAATGTTAGTATATTGATGTGTATAATCAACCACAGTGTTATTGTTGTCAGGTCATTGTTAATATATGAAAAATTAAAATATTTTAAATGATCCACTTGAGGTTATTACTGTTCCCACCATCTATATTAGAGGGAAATAAATGGTAGGGGCCAACGATTGACTAAGGGTGGCCATGGCCACCCATGGCCCCCCATCTAGCTCCGCCCCTGCACACAGCACTCCCTACTGAACCCCTTATCCACATATTCTAATTTCTCTAATGAATAATTTAAAATGTACTATGAATATGAATTAAAACAATGAAAAGAAAAATGTTTTCAGAAGTCACCTGACCTTACATGATTTAATCTCCTGCAGTTGTGTGTAAAGAGAAGTTTATAACAAACTTTTAATGATCACTATCGCAAAGACCAAAGAATAAACAAGTTAAGAAATGTTCATTTATGAAACAATATTGTACACTTTAACGGGAAAAAATCACGTAAGTAAGAGGTTCTGTCTGGATTTTTCCATTAGCCAAAGCAGGGGACACAGCAAACATGTGGAAGAAGGTGTTCCTGTCAGATTTTTTAAAGCGTCTAATGTACATCTTCCTGAATACTGCAGCTTTTCTTACTACTGGACAGGACCCACTGAGTTTATACCCTGCCAAAAAACAAAAAAGCACAACAGGTGTTGCTATTTTGACACAAGTAGCCTGGGATAGCCCCAGGAATTATAGAATTTGATATTAGCAAAGTATACAGAAGGGTTAAACATAGAATGATTTCTTGTTTTATTTTTCTAATGCAAAGAGTGGTCAGCAATACTGTTATTAATAATTCTGATGAGTTAAATGATAAAAAGGTTTTTCATTTTTGCAATATTTACTTTTTTTCGGTATGAGTGTGTTTTTTATTTTGTTGTACATGTTGTGGTAAATAATGGAGGCGGGCCTGGATGATAGTGGGGAGAGCAGGAGATGGGGATGACCACTGGGATAAATAGTGTAATAATCATTTCTGTGCACTTTTCAACAGATCTGTAATTTAAAAAAAAAAGGGGGGGGGGGGGGTAGGATATTGAAACAAAATCACATTTAAGCATAAATTGAATTTAAGCTTCAATTTAAGCCTTCATTATTTCTCTTTTTTTAATCTATTTGTCTGTTGTGTATAAAATTGCTACATAATTTAATCCATCTATAGTCCTTGGGGTCAATTTGACCGCATTCAATGTTTGTCATTCCAAAAATAGTTCAGCTTTCCTAATTTGATGGGGACAACGGATAAAGCATAAAGTTTTTGTACTGATATTCTGATACTGTGCTGATATATACTCTATGTGATGAGTGCATACTGCATGCAGTTTTTATTCTCAGGGGTCAATTTGACCCCAAGCTGTTTTAGCTGTTAATGTATTTACTATTTTACTGTTTTAAATTCATCACACCAAGCAAGAAATTAAAGGTGTATTTAAGCAATTATTACTTTCAAGTCATCTTAACTTCAGCCTAGCTTTGGGAAGTGTTTAAATGGAAAACAACTGTCCTGTTAATTAGAATAAATAAAAAACAGCTGTGTTCCAGGTTTAGAAAAACATTAAAAAAATTAGCAGAACTTCTGTTAAAAAGTTCTCTCTAAACGGAAGACCTAGTACTATCTGATAGAATGATGAATATTGAATAAATGATTGTACAAAAAGTACACAATTTACAAATTTGACATCATGCTTAATAGTTCAATTTCAATATTGCATAGAAATTGTTATATTTAAATCCCTGAAATATAAGGCTTATTTCCTTTAAAGAGCTGTAACAAGATGTTTGGTGTAACATCAAAAACCACAACATGCTGTTTAGGTGCTACAGAGATTTTATTCTGGATATAAATTTGGTATATGATATAAGAAGACTGTTATTTAAAAGTTGTTGAACAAGCACAATATCATCTTCTAACCAGTTCTTATAATAAAGTTATTTATTCTTATAAAGAATATTTCCATTGTTCCGAATCTAACATGTTATTTGGGGGATATTATGCTTGTAGGCAAGTTTCCAGGCCTGGAGAGCTTGTTGATAAAACTTCAATCTGTAGCTTTTCAATTTTGTAGTCTTATTTTAGTAAGATTTAGAGTCCATCCATCTGATTAAAATGATTAACAATATAGTTGGGGTAAATGTTTCAAAACGTATTATCTCCCTTTAATAATTCAGTTAACCAATTAAATTTAAAAGAATTGTCTAGCATTTCAAATTTCGGATTTGGACCACCATACATTGTAATACAGAGAATGTCTCTTTTTAAGTAATGACATTTATGTTTCCATATAAAATCAAATAGAATAATGTATAACGTTTTGCACACTTCCTTTGGCATTTCTAAAGATAATTAAGTGTATATAGCTCTGGAGATTTCTCTCAGCTTTTGAGAGTAAAATCCTTCCGTTTGCCTGTGGGTGGTCTCAGTTTTTGTAATGGCCAAATAACCCATTCATTGTTGTAATCCAAGGCTATTTTTGTGATGAACTTCATTGAAAAAAAAAAGTCCAAACAAACATTATTAAAGGAAACAGACAGGTGCTCAGGTTAATAAGAAAAAAAAAAAAGACAGATCTGCATTACTCTAAAAAGATGCAGCACATCCAGCAATGTTTATGAGAGATTTTTTTTCAAAGTTAAGTAGTGTTAGGGATATCATGCACCCTCTACACTCATATAAGAAACATATAAAGCTGCGAGAAGTTTTGGAATATTTACATAGAGAATGAAAAGGTTTCTAATCAAAGTAACGCTAATATCTATGGAAGCCCGTTTCCGCCACTCTGTAAAAAAAAAAAAAAAAAAACTATATTGAGTTACTATCTCAATATAATGAGATAGTATCTCATTATAATGAGATACTATCTCATTATAATGAGATACTATCTCATTATAATGAGATAGTTTTTTTTTTTTTTTTTTTTACCAATTTTTTAAGTTAAAATTGAGTATTTTTGGTCAATAGCTCCCAGGTCATGTGACCTATTGATGCAAAATCAGTGTGAAATTGTTCTACTAGTCTCTGTAGATGGGGCACACTCATTTGTTTTTCATTTTAACTCTTTTTTTATTTTTTAGCAATTTTTTAAGTTAAAATTGAGTATTTTTGGTCAATAGCTCCCAGATCATGTGACCTATTGACGCAAAATCACTTGGAAATTGTTCTACTAGTCTCTGTAGATGGGGCACACTCATTTGATTTTCATTTTAACTCTTTTTTTTATTTTTTTACCAATTTTTTAAGTTAAAATTGAGTATTTTTGGTCAATAGCTCCCAGGTCATGTGACCTATTGATGCAAAATCAGTGTGAAATTGTTCTACTAGTCTCTGTAGATGGGGCACACTCATTTGTTTTTCATTTTAACTCTTTTTTTATTTTTTAGCAATTTTTTAAGTTAAAATTTAGTATTTTTGGTCAATAGCTCCCAGGTCATGTGACCTATTGATGCAAAATCAGTGTGAAATTGTTCTACTAGTCTCTGTAGATGGGGCACACTCATTTGTTTTTCATTTTAACTCTTTTTTTATTTTTTAGCAATTTTTTAAGTTAAAATTGAGTATTTTTGGTCAATAGCTCCCAGATCATGTGACCTATTGACGCAAAATCACTTGGAAATTGTTCTACTAGTCTCTGTAGATGGGGCACACTCATTTGATTTTCATTTTAACTCTTTTTTTTATTTTTTTACCAATTTTTTAAGTTAAAATTGAGTATTTTTGGTCAATAGCTCCCAGGTCATGTGACCTATTGATGCAAAATCAGTGTGAAATTGTTCTACTAGTCTCTGTAGATGGGGCACACTCATTTGTTTTTCATTTTAACTCTTTTTTTATTTTTTAGCAATTTTTTAAGTTAAAATTTAGTATTTTTGGTCAATAGCTCCCAGGTCATGTGACCTATTGATGCAAAATCAGTGTGAAATTGTTCTACTAGTCTCTGTAGATGGGGCACACTCATTTGTTTTTCATTTTAACTCTTTTTTTATTTTTTAGCAATTTTTTAAGTTAAAATTGAGTATTTTTGGTCAATAGCTCCCAGATCATGTGACCTATTGACGCAAAATCACTTGGAAATTGTTCTACTAGTCTCTGTAGATGGGGCACACTCATTTGATTTTCATTTTAACTCTTTTTTTTATTTTTTACCAATTTTTTTAGTTAAAATTTAGTATTTTTGGTCAATAGCTCCCAGGTCATGTGACCTATTGACCCAAAATCAGTGTGAAATTGTTCTACTAGTCTCTGTAGATGGGGCACACTCATTTGTTTTTCATTTTAACTCTTTTTTTATTTTTTTTTTACCAACTTTTTAAGTTAAAATTGAGTATTTTTCGTCAATAGCTCCCAGGTCATGTGACCTATTGACCCAAAATCAGTGTGAAATTGTTCTACTAGTCTCTGTAGATGGGGCACACTCATTTGTTTTTCATTTTAACTCTTTTTTTATTTTTTTTTTACCAACTTTTTAAGTTAAAATTGAGTGTTTTTGGTCAATAGCTCCCAGGTCATGTGACCTATTGACCCAAAATCAGTGTGAAATTGTTCTACTAGTCTCTGTAGATGGGTCACACTCATTTGTCTTGCATTTTAACTCTTTTTTATTTTTTACCACATATGGACACCCTTATGCTTGAACATGGTGTTCGTTATGGACAATCCATGACGAGCACAGAAGTCCAACAACAGAACACCACTCGAGTTCAGATCGGGGCGACCATTCCTCCCAACCATGCCCCTCCAGGTCTCACTGTCATTGCTCACGTGAGCGTTGAAGTCTCCCAGCAGAACAAGGGAGTCCCCAGGAGAGGCACCCTCCAGTTCTCCCTCTAAGGACTCCAAGAAGGGTGGGTAATCTGAACTGTTGTTCGGCCCGTTAGCACAGACAACAGTCAGAACCCGTCCCCCCACCCTTAGGCGGAGCCCTCTCGTTCACCGGGATGAACCCCAACGTACAGGCGCCGAGATGGGGGGCAACAAGTATGCCCACTCCTGCCCAGCGCCTCTCACTGTGGGCAACTCCAGAGTGGAAGTATGTCCAGCCCCTCTATAGGAGACTGGTTCCAGAACCAGAACCATACGTCGAGGTGAGACAGACTATTTCTAGCCGGAACCTCTCAGCCTCACACACTAGCTCCGGTCCCTTCCCACCAGCGAGGTGACATTCCACATCCCAAGAGCCAGCTTCTGCAGCCGAAGATCGGACCACCAGGGTCCCCTCCCCCGGCCAACACACATTGCATACGACCCTTATGGCCCCTCTCACGGGTGGTGGGCCCATGTAAGGGAGGACCCAACAATTCACACTGATTTTGGGTCAATAGGTCACATGACCTGGGAGCTATTGACCAAAAATACTCAATTTTAACTTAAAAAATTGGTAAAAAATAAAAAAAAGAGTTAAAATGAAAGACAAATGAGTGTGCCCCATCTACAGAGACTAGTAGAAAAATTTTACACTGATTTTGGGTCAATAGGTCACATGACCTGGGAGCTATTGAAGAAAAATACTCAATTTTAACTTAAAAAATTGCTAAAAAATAAAAAAACAGTTAAAATGAAAAACAAATAAGTGTGCCCCATCTACAGAGACTAGTGGAACCATTTCACACTGGTTTTGGGTCAATAGGTCACATGACCTGGGAGCTATTGACGAAAAATACTCAATTTTAACTAAAAAAATTGGTAAAAAAATAAAAAAAGAGTTAAAATGCAAAACAAATGAGTGTGCCCCATCACAAGAGACTAGTAGAACAATTTCACACTGATTTTGCATCAATAGGTCACATGACCTGGGAGCTATTGACCAAAAATACTCAATTTTAACTTAAAAATTGGTAAAAAAAAAAAAAAAATTATCTCAATATAATGAGATAGTAACTCAATATAATGAGATAGTATCTCATTATAATGAGATAGTAACTCAATATAATGAGATAGTATCTCATTATAATGAGATAGTAACTCAATATAATGAGTTACTATCTCATTATAATGAGATAGTATCTCATTATAATGAGATACTATCTCATTATATTGAGATAGTTTTTTTTTTTTTTTTTTTACAGAGTGGCGGAAACGGGCTTCCATAAATATCTGTCTGTGGGTGTTTTTTTTTTTTTTTTTTTATTTACATATAAACAATGAAATGTATGTGCAGTGTTTACTGTAAATAAGCCATTCATATTTCTAATGTTCCTCAGTAACAGTTGTATTGACAAATCTCACATCAATCAAAAATTAGCTAAGAGAAAAAAGAAAGAAAAAAAGGAAAATAAACAACTAAAAAGCAAAGGGAATGGGATTTGGGGTGTAGGATGGAAAGGTGAGATCTAAGATAAAAATGTATTGAGATGGAGAGTAGTTTGGAGAGTGGTGGGAGGTGATTTGAGCAATTATGGGAGTAATTAAAATTTCTAAAATATGTCTACGATAGATTGAGTTTTTTATTGTTAAATTGATTTGCTGATTGTCTCAAGAACCAGATTAGTGGAGGAGTTTAAATATCTTGGGGTCTTGTTCATTAATGAGGGGAAGATGGTGAGGCGGATTGGTGCAGCGCCTGTTGTAAAGCGGGTTTACCAGTCCATTGTGGTGAACAGAGAGCTGAGCCAAAAGGCTAAGCTCTCGAGGTACCTGTCGATCTACGTTCTTACACTAATCTATGGTCATTAGCTTTGAATCATGACCTGAAGAACGAGATCCCGGATACAAGCGGCCGAAATGAGTTTTCTCACTAGTGTGTCTGGGCTCTCCCTTAGAGATAGGGTGAGGAGCTCAGTCATCCAGGGAAGACTATTTCCAATGTGATCTAGTAAGTTAGAAACAGTGATGATATTCTTATTAACCCAGGTTGGAACAAAGACAGATTTTTTCCCTTTTAATATATAATAATTATTCCATAAAATAAACATATATGGGGAGAAATTGTTAAGACGGCATACTTCCCATGCAGTAAGAGCCTGTTAATGAAAATAGGAAAGCTTAATTGGTAGATTGCTGATTTTATAATTGCATTTCAAAAGAAATTGCAAGCCACCTAATTTTCAGGAAATAAAATTAGGAATGAAGTGCCAGATAGAGTTAGATTTTTTTTTATGGATTCTTGATTCCATTTGATTTTGAAGATATTGTTCATATCTATAAAGTCGAGGATTTCAATCCATCGTCGCTTCTTGTTCCTGTGAGTAAATTAGATTCCAGATAGAGTCATTTTTCTTTGGGTGGCCTCTCATCTGTAGTTTTAGTAAACATGACGACAGCAGCCCATTGGGATCCTTAAAAGAACGAACTCACTTCTGATTGGCTCCCCAAAAGGAAGCGTCACTCCAGCCAATCACCTTCGCGTTTACTCACCGATGCGGTAGTACCAACATGGCAGCCCTCTGAGTTTTGGAGGAGGGGAGCTGGTGTAAATACAGGCAAATTAAGCGTTTCTGAGACAAGGACAACATCAGGGAGCTTAAGCTGGGGACTTATTGGACTGTTGCGTAAAATGTCGAGCGACGGGAACAAGAAACAGTTCTGGAAAAGAAACGCAGCCAAGGTTCCTGGCAGGTAAGTGACGTGTTCCCCTTCTGTTGGCTAGCTTAGCCACCTAGCTTCTCCTAGTGAAGCTTCAAACGCAGCTTTCACTTCAGCTGCGGGGCTTTTATTAGAGTTTATTAGTTTGGATGAAACTGATGTTGAACTTCTGCTGTTACGCTCGTGCATTCTGCACAGTTTACAACTTCCTGCTTAAGGCTGTCAGAGTGCTGCGATGCTAACAACGGCTAGCACCTGTTAAATCTACCATATAAATATATTGCAAAGTTGAAATATGTTTCTAAAAACACCAACAGAAGCCCAAGAGGATAGATTATTTCATAATATACACATTAATAGTTTAAAATGTATTGCATTGCATTTAGGTAGCATGTTTAGCTTCTGCGGATGAGTCCATTCATTTCCTCCTCTCTGCTTTACTTCCTTAGTATTCAGCATGTGTATGGGGCACAGCATCCACCTTTCGACCCCCTTCTCCATGCCAAGTAAGTTCAGTGTTTCATCATTTTATAAAAAAAAAAGCACTTTGGAGTTGTTTGGGAACTTTATAAACTTTGCCATCTTCTCTGTTCCACTTGTAAAACCAGGCCTTTCAAGCACATTAGTAGCTCTGATCATTTTAAGTTAAGATTATTAAGTTAAGAGTATATTTCCATTATAATAAAGTCTCTGGAAATGACAGAAGGGGATGCTTAAGTTACATTTAGCATTGAAGATTGAGCTATAAAAAGTTATAAAACATTTAGTGCTCAGTTTAAAAAAACAAAACACTCACCCATATTTCATATCTAAAAATCTTAATAGAGTTGAACATCTTTCATTTTTAGCTCTCTGTGTTGTATGATTGCTGAAATCAAATTAAGATTACAAACATTTGATCATCACATACCTATTGCTTAATTGTTAAGTCACCGTCTGAGAGGCACTGAATGAGAATATCCAGGTTATTATCTCTGATCAGGTTTCTACAGTTCAGTAATTTTCACTTTAAATTTTCCTAATAGTATTTTCACCACTTCACACATTGGGACATGCATTGCAAGCTAAACTACTTCAGTGATCACAACAAACATGCAGACTTTAGGGTGCCTTGACTTCATATTTATATTGATGGAGTAATTCATAAGGATAGACATTTGATCACTTTGAAAACTTATAATCATGAATTCCCCATCAGATTTGTCAACTCTCTTTTTTTATATAGCAGCAATTCACATACCATGTACTTTATAGACAAATGTCAAAGAATTCAGAGTGGTTAAAAGTATTCTTTCTAAGGAAACCCTACAGCAATCTCTCACACTAAACATGCATGCAGCAACAGTGGAGAAAAATAACTTTAAAAGAGTGAACTGTCCTGTGCTAAATCCAGCCATTAATGTTTTACGGTAAGGTGCAGCTTCTACTTTACCATTTATATAAATTTGTAAAACACAATGTTTTTCAGAAAAACTTTAATTCTATCTATACCAGGTTTCTCAGCACTACCATTTAAAACCCATAAGCAATCCATGTCTTGCCTTTGTACATAATTGACTAGTGTAACTATTGTGGTGAATTATGGAATTAAATCATCTTAAATATACTTAAACTTGAAGTACAGTTGCATTTATTTGTTATCTGAATGTTTTCAGTAGATTATATTTCAATCTCTTCCCATTGATTGTGTTTCTGATCTTCAGCATTTATGAAATATAGCAAACGATATACCCTATATAAAACCAATGGATCTCATAGTCACCTCATGCTGGTACTAAGGATCAAAGTTTCATTACCACATGTACTTCCACTGAACAGTCAGTTAGATCATGTATAATTACTCAGGTTTTAATGTTAAGACCAAAAAAAAATCTCATTGGCTGTTTATCAACCGCTGCCTGAAATGCGGCACAAGATCTGGGCAAAGGCAAATTTCCCTGATCTCATTAAATGCAACCATTTGAACTGCTTGATGGCTTAGTTAAAGTTACTAATGCATGCCCAAAAAGGGCTTTTGTCACGCCTAACGTTGGAATGTTGAATGATTTGTTGTGCCAGTCAGCAGTGGATGTAAACAAAAGTGTTGAAGTTGTTGGTTAGGAATGTCGCATCTCTGGTTTTGCAGTACTATTTTAGTCAGACCTGGTTCTGGAATCTCCCAGAAACTGAGTCTAGAGGAAAATTTTTTCTTTGAAAAACATAGGTGGAAAGATTCAACAGTACTGTGGACGTACTGCAGATTGTCCTTCCAGGTCCAAGATCATGGATTTATGAGAGTAGCTGAATTTAGACGAAAAGCGTTGCAGAACTTGACATCGTGAAAAATATAAATCAGGTTTCATCCTTGAATCATGAAGGCATGTCTATACTTTTATGCCTAACACTTTGAAATACAGATTTTTTTTCTGATACAAAACCCTGTGCAGTTTTGTTTTAGAACCTAAGCAAGCATCACGTTAAATACTTTCTTGATAAACGCTAGCTATCTAACAGCTTTTCCGCTCTTTGCTCTTCTTCTGCAAAACAGCTCAAACTCAGAATGAAAATAATTTGCTTTCAACCATTAAAATACGTCTGCAGCTGTATTACCATTGCTATATCGGCTTCGATCCATTGTCCTCAACAAATGGAAAAATGTGTTTTTCCAATATGACAAAAAGTAGCCTATGAGGACAGGTGGTGAGTTTTCTGTAAGCAGGGGTAGTTATGCTTTTGGAGGTTTAAAGCATCACACCTTTCTGCCCCTAAATTCACAGTAATGAAGCTGCTGCTATAGGGTAGGAGTATCCCGTTTGGAGTAATGAGCCACATTCTGGTTACCCTGAACCCAGCATCTCTCTCTCTTTTTTTTTCTTTTTCTTTTTTCTCACACTGAACGATTATGTGTCTTGTGTTGTTAATGAGCCTTTGTTTTTCATTACATAAATTAAATGAGCAATGTTAAACAGAAAATGGGGGAATTGCTTTGAATTTGTTTTTCACCATTACAAAAAAAAAAAACAATTAAAAAAAAGTTTTTTTTGTAATTCTACTTGATTGACAGACTATTCCCCACCTCTACATACAAACCCACACCCAACAGTGATAAAGTAAAAACAGTCCATTATTCACTAATTATAATTTCCCTCCTTCTTGTTGTTTAATCATCTAGATTTCCACAGAGGGGTGGACTTTAATTTCCCTGCTTTTTTCTGTGTCATTGTGTAGATTCTCACTTTTTCTTTTCCCTCCAGTCACGATGAAAGCGAGCTAATGCGGCTGCATCTCTTTGTTCTTTATTCTAATGTTTGTCTTTGTAAGAAATCACAGAACCTTCTTCCCTCCACACCTCCCCATGCCACTCACTGCACAGTTAAGAAAAGGTTTGGTTTAATTAAATCTTATATAGAACAAAGAATTTAATTCATTTGAATTTTTGTTTTAATCGTTGTGAAATATTCAGTGCTTGTAATTCATTTTTAGTTTCAGTATTTTAGACTTGGGTAGAATTAAGAGTAAAGGAGAAAAAATTTGATTGCTAAGCATCTTCACTATATTATCACAGAATAACTAATCTGATTGTAATGTGTTGGAATTGAGACAGTTTTAGTTTCACAGGTTGACGTCATAGGATTTCTTTTTAAAAGCAAGTATTTGAAATACTTTTCAGGTTAAAAAACTTTTAAACTAAAATAAAAAGAATGTAGCAGGATATGCGACTGTTGATGAGCCAAATAAAAAATAATAATACTTATACTTAATAATAAATACTTAATAATAAAAAAGTTATTGTTGGGAGAAAAGGTTGTACCAATACCAGTTTCCTTCAGAGAAATAATGCTTCTCAGATCTATAAATGACTGAAATGAATTTATTTTTGTTTTCATAATATTTTTTTTTAAATCATATGTTGGTATGTATTATAAACGGTAGCCATCTTTTTATCTTTTTTTTCTTTTGCTTTCTAGTCCAATGTAAATTAGCTTTGGAGGGTGGGCATTATAAGCTTCTTGCTTCTGCCAATACACCCATTTTCAGACTGTTTTCATTTATGTTATGTGGACATATACGGTCTTTATTATATATTTGTATGTCTGAAATAAATAAATGGATAAATACATTTGTACAGCATTGTTGATGCTGCTTTTTTCTTTCTTCTTCTTTTCCTTAATCAGATAAATTCCTGTTAGAGAAGAAGCCATTGTTTGGTGTTTCATGTCTAATTCCAGCTGAAATTTTGTTTTCTCTTTTGTGGGGTTTCACTAAAATACCCTCACCTTTTTGCTCAGCTTGTAAATAAGCAGTGACTTCTGTGGCCTGCAGGCCTGAATGGGTGAACTAAACAGCTCTTAAAACTTTTTTTGAAGAAGTGATTCTTCAAAATATCAGCAAACTCTGCAGATAATGCCGCTGCCATTTAAGGAACTGAAACCTTAGGACAGCCTCTTATCCATGTATGCAAGAGGGTTGAAATGCACACCACAAAGTGCAAACTGAAAAGCAGTCCAACTATATATGAGAGACAACAGCTTTTTTTAAAAATGGGGTGAAGGGAATAATATTTGCAACATATTCCAAAAATCCCAAAACAATATACATCTTTATATTCAGAATCAAACTGTGCTAAATTAACCTTTACTCAGTTTTGAATAACTGTTCAAATTGTCTCTCTTCTCCACAAATTGACTTGTATTTACCTACCCAGAATGTCGCTAAAATCTGTATAGAATTTGGGCATCAAAGGCCATGAAAGGCCTCGGCAGATGGCCGCTCACACTGAGCATGGTTATGCTGGAGGTTCCTTCCTGTTATAAGGGAGTTTTTCCTCTCCACTGTCACTACATGCATGCTTAGTGTGAGGGATTACATTCAAGTCAATGAGTCGATGCAATCAACTGGTTTTCCTTAGATAGAAAACCTTGAATCAATTTGACTGGATGATCTGGTGAATTGAAAGTGCCTCGAGATGGTGTGTGTTGTGATTTGGCGCTATATAAAATGAATTGAATTGAAAGTTCATCTAGTTGATGAAATGTAATATTTGCTCTTGTAGTGCTGCCAGATCTACATGGGTCTAAATCGAGCCTTTCACCCGGTTATTCCAATGAAGGTGGTGTTGATGTTGTTTTTTCAGCTTTACAGGTGATGGAACAAGTTTCTTTGTTTCTGTCACCGTCCCACGGAGAAGTCTTTTTATTTTTGTTTTCAGGGGCTACTAGAAAGAAAGTTAAACTAAACATGATATTATAACTTTTGCAGTTCTTCAGGATTAGAACGTTTATTAGAATCAGGAACCTAACTGTAAACAGGAAGTAGTTGATTTTACTCTGAATGTTTTATGAAACTGCCAAAGAAAATTAGCTCATGAAATATAGATTTCTGAATTTCTTTACTCTCCCTTCAGTCCTCAGTATCCTCAGTCCATGAATCATCCTTATGTCAATCCAACTTGGTGTTCACCCCCTTCATCTCCTCCGCCGACCTTGTATCTCAGTTGTTTTAACCCCAGCCTCTCCCACATGTCCGCTCTGTGTCTTGCAGCCTGATGAAAGCAGGCAACAAACCCCCTCCCACCACGCCTGGCAAGCCCAAGAAAGCTACCACCTTCCAGGAGTTTGAGAGCATCACCAGTGATGCCTGGGACGTCGGGGATGACGACGACGAGCTGCTGGCCATGGCTGCACAGAACCTAAATATCGAGGTTGTCATGGAGACGGCAAATAAGGTAAAATGCAGGATGGAGTAGTTTACTATAAATCAAACACTCTGGATTCAGCTTGATGCTGTTGGTAATAGTTAGTATTTCAAAGGAATTGAAGAAAAGCAGTTCTTGTAGATAAGAGAGTCCAAATAAGGCTGCCACCTCTTTAGGCAGAAAGAAAGATCTGTTTTAGGTTTCTTCAGGCTTGGACTTTAACATTTCCATTGTGTAAAAACCCAAGACTCATCATTATTTCTGGTTGGTTTACTGTTATCTTCACAGGTGATTGAGAATCACAGCAAGCAGCAGGAGAGGCAGAGGCTAGATGACACAGCAGAGTCGGGTCAGGTAGAGGAAGATGCACAGGAGGAGGTGTTCGCTGAGGAGGAAGAGGAGGAAGAAGAAGAAGAGGAGTATCTCAGAGTGGAGGAAGTAGACGCAATCAGTCCAGATGCGTCGTTTGCCTCTCAGAGCAGCCCTTATAGCGAGAGCCGTCTGGTGAAATCCCACAGCGAAGCTCCGATCGGGTCACCTAAAGGTCAGTACTGTAGATTTCAGCTCCAAAAAATATAATTGTTTTATTTGGACAAATCTGTGTAAGAAAAAGTGAAATACACCCAGAGGTTTTTGATTTAAAAAAAAGAAAACAACGTTCACTATAATCTTAATAAATGCAATACACCCTATGTTTTTAAAGCTGGTGGATCTAGAAGTAACACCAACTTGGAGTATTTTTGAGTTTTTTAGAACGGAAAAAATCTGCCCTTCATTAAAGTATCAATACAACCATCTTAAGACAAACCTGCTCCGTTCTGAGCAGACTGAAAAGACTCTACTGTTCCCTAATCATTACACCTCCTCCATTGTGTTTTATAGCCACTATCAAACCTTTTTGCGTTCTGTATTTTATTGCCTTTAAATCCTGGATTAAAAAGCATATTCAGATTACATTTTTCAAAATTAAACCAGGCTGAACTTTTACCTCTGAAACACTTTTTTCCTTTAAACTGATACCCTTTTTTTAATTGCAGTTTTATCTTATTGGTAAAGCTGTAAACCTCCTTCTTGATCAAGAACCTGGAAATTATGCAGAGAAGTTATCTTTATCTTATTTACCCGTAGACCCTTAGAAATGTTTTCCCTGTTCAAACATAAAGTGATAGGACTCATATTGTCCTGCTTGTGAACATTACACCCTTCTCTTTCCAAAAGGAGCTCTCTAACATCCCTTAGAGTAACTGAGAGTTGGTTTATTTGGTAGCTTTGTTAAATATGTATCCTGAAGTAACTCCAGTATTGAGATCTTCCCTCATATTAACAATTTCATTTAATTTTTTTATGAGAAATTAATGGAATAAAATGAGAAAAGCTCCGCATTTAATCAGCAATCATTAGGTATTTGGTGAATCTGGACGTCTTTCATTAAGCTTATGTTTTGACTTTATAAGTTTGATTAAAAACTACAATTTACCAGGTTAACTTAAACCTATTTTTTTGGCTGTTTTCAGACTGTTTCTGTGTTCAGATGAAGCCCTTTGGCTTCCAGTAGTTTCTCTCCTAATACGGCATTATTTCCTTCTGTGTCTCATGGCAAACGTCCACATATTGTGTGTACTCATTTGATCTGTTCACAAATATATACACAGACTTCCCATAACAGACGATTGTTTTTCTTCCTCAGTTAATTGAAATAATTATTATAGAGCACTGCGACAACATGTAAGCACCACCTACCTCCTCTGTTGGTTTCTTTCATTGAATTGAATGTTTAAGAGACTGTTTAAAGTGCCTCGTTGTTAAATGGACTCCCTAAGTTATAGAGAAACTGCCGCCTGCTTTAATGATCTTTTTTTAATTTTTGTAAGTGCAAATAAAGCACTTGAGAACAGATTTGTAGCCTTTTATTTGTTCCTGTAAAAAGAGAATAAGATATTAAAAGCAGCAAGCTGCCAGTTCTCCTAATTGCCATGATGTGTTTGTGTAACTCTGCCGGCAGTAGAAATGTTGGAGCTTTTGTTCCAACTGTTGGCAGGATGCCTGCCTGAACTTTATCCTGGCAGGAGGAGGATCGCCGCTAATGTTAAAGTCTAAAAACATCTGGATTTGTTGTGACTCTTTGTTCCACCTCTGTTTGAACATGTGACGCCTAAGAGACAGAACTGATTGAAATGTAAATATTAAAAGTTAGCACTGCTGTTCATTTACTCAGGGTTATTGTCGAAACGACAAAGTTGGCTAGGTAACAGTTTCTGAAGCTAATTTGTTGACGGTGCATTAACACTTGAACCTTTCAACGTTTTACTGTTAGATCAACACAGAGTAACACGTTTATCATACTCTGTCTCCCTGTATTTGGTCTAAACCAGTATTGCAAATATAAAGACTGAAATCTGTTTTCCTACCTAAAAAAACCTTAAGCTAACACTGGATAAGATCTCTGAACAACAAGTGTTGGCCTGGATTCCCTTTTTGATTTGGCTCCAAGCCTTGATTTGGCCATTCGAACACTAAAGCGTGATTTCATCTAAACCTAGAGAATTATAAGCTACATGATGCTCAGGTAAAACTAGTGTAGATATTTAATCGCACCTCTGGAAAATGTTTATTTGTTTATGGTTAAATTTACGAAAAAATATAAATAAAAACTCAAACTTTAAAAATTAGATTAAAAAAAAATTTAATTTATTAATTCAATATTTATAGAAAATGAGCATCTAAAGGAAAGATGATTTTAACTAAAATAAACTAAATACCGTAATAGAAAAATACTTTTTCCAATGTTTAAAAGCCACTATGGTGTCCCTAAAGGTCCAGATGTGGCACTGAAGCCTCAGATTGCTAATCTAAGCTTTTCCCTTTTAGCTCTTAAACCTTTGTGGTGTTTGTCCTTTTGGTTGGTGACCTGTAGCTCCAAGTTTTTTGCAGCCTGCATTCGGTTTTCCTTCATAATTCTCCTCCATTGATCACAGAGAAGCCTCCACACTATGCATTATAACTGTGAACTGAAAAAAAGAATGCATCCATTTTTGGCATTTAGTTAATCATATTTATTTACTTTAACACAATTTTTTTCATGTTAGCAGGCTAGGACATAAAACAATTGTGTTAAAGTAACTAAATATGATTAAGTAAATGACGAAAATGGTTGCATTCTTTTTTTTCAGTGAAAGGATGCTGCATTCTGAGCTATGTGCAGCATTCGTCTTCACACTAAAGCTGTCTTCACTTCATGAAGACCTTTTAGGGGTATAAATCCATTTAATCAAGTTACTATTTAAAGAGCTGTTGATTTCACTCAGGTTCCTCTCACAACGAAGGGCAGCTGGCAAACGTGTGTGCTGTTTAAAATGGCTTGGCGTTTATGTAACCTGTCTCTTTATCTCGTCTCCATCCTTCAACCAGATGCAGCAGGCCTCCACAGACAGAGGTCTCTGCCCCACCGGCCGCCCGTCATCCCATTAGTGGCTCGCATGGCTGACCAGAACACATCTGGCACCCCGGCCATGACGGAGAGGGAAGCGTCCCGCCTGGATAAGTTCAAACAGTTGCTGGCGGGGCCCAACACAGATCTGGGTAAGCGATACTGTGCCAGCAGCCTCCACTTATCTGGCAGAGGCTGTGTCACAAGGCCTTTGGTCGCCCTTCTGAATATCCCTTTATTCCTCACTAATTGTCTAGCTTCATCCTTTTCTTTACCTTTTAAAGCTCTCTCACTTCCTTATTTTCTTGCGCTCCTCTGCTTCTCACTTTGTCTGCCAGCTGTGCTGAGCTGTTAACGATGTAGTGTGTTTGGGGGGGGGAGTCATCCCGCCATCTGGACATGCAGATTAGAAACACCAGCAACAACAAAAGCAAATGACAGGCCTTTGTTCTAACCAAACGACAGGCCTTTATTGTTTATCTAGCCCCGGAGACTTTTCTACCCTAGTGGCCTGGAAACACCTCTGGACCTTTTTCTTTTTCCACTTTGTGTCCTTTGAAGCAAACTTCAGGCAACTTGATCAGGAACTTGTTGCATGTGTTTCATGAAGTTGATGAGCTAATTTAGGTCTGTCATCCAGATTCAAGTTTAAAGATCAAAATATTGAGTTAATTTGTTAAAAAGATAATACCACAGTAAATTCCACAGTGTTAAATATGCAGTGTCAAAGTACACTCCCTAGAGTTCTAATTTAACACTAATTCAGAATGGGACCAAATGCACTCTTAAAGTGCTACTTTAACACTGCAAAATTTACTTTGTAAGAACAGATATTGAGACGCTCCATATTGAGTTACTGTAGAGTTTTGGTTTAAATAGGTTTTTTAAGCTCTAGAAAGTAAAGATTTACATTAGAAATTTCTTGCCGATTTGCAAGTTTTGTAAAGCTCTGGCATGTAAATGCAGAATTTTGACCAATCCTCTTTCTCTTTAGAAGCTATAGTATATTCTAAGTCCCTCAATAAAATTCTATTAAGATGTCTTTAGTATTTTCTGCTTGAGATTGGTATGATTGAGTTTCCTAAAAGGCTGCCAACATTGAAAAATATCCAGTGCTCCACAACAGATGGAGATAAAAAGAACTTAAAAATAAAAAGGGGCAACTTTGCTGCATTGAGTCAAGCCTTTCTGTTACCTGTTTGATTTCTTGCTCTCTCTCCCTCTTACAGTGTGAATGAATATTAGGCTGCAAGTTGATAATGTGCTCCATTTTTTTTCCTAAATTATTATTTTTAATTATTAAAGCAATGTTAAAGCTGAAAAACGCAACTTTGTGATCCTTTAACTAAGCTTTCTTTCTGAGAAAAGTTTAATACGGGCACAATCGGGACCCATAAAGCTACAAGTAGTCAGGACCATATCACTAGCCACAAAAAAGTAGATTTCTTTCAAGAAATCTACTTTTTTTTTTTTTAACAGTAATTAGACAGGAATTAGGGATGGAGAGAAGAGGAAAACATGTAACAAAGGTCAGGAGTTGAACCTCAGACAGGTGCATTGAGGATTAAATTGCCGTCGTCTGTGGATTGCCATTTTGCATATACAAATCTCCTGTTTGCTTACTGAGTGGCCCAACATACTGCCTGCAAAGAAAGCAACAATTTACTGGAGAATGTGCTATGTGCCTGTCTATGAAGCTCAAATATAGAGTAGATGGCAAGCATTAGATTTTTATTTTTGTAGTATGTCTAAATGTAATTTTAATACACAAATTTCTGCTTTTGTTTTTGGATAAGCGTAAGATGTATTTTTTGTGTCTTAAAACACAATCATTGAGAATAAATTTTTAAAGGTGATAAGCAGATATAAAGAACATAAAAACAGATGTAGGGATTAATTGTCTGAACTGAAGTGTAAGCACCTAAAAAGGTGCAAGGGGCACGTTTGCTACAGCCGTCCTGTGGTTTATTTTCCCTCGGCAGGCATTTTGGATTTAATGACTTCATAATTAGCTTTTCTGGAAGGTTTACCTTATGAAATATTCATAAAGCACCCTGACTGATTTTTACTATCATTGATAGTTGATGACCCAAAGAAACGTGATATCAGAATATTAGAAAATCTTTTTTCTTTCTTCCTGAATTTAACGTGTTATCAGTTTGCTGTGGAATAATGTATTGGAGTACTGCAACAGGAATGCCGCTCATTTGTTTGTCCATCCCTTTATCTGTTTGATTATTTTTTCATCCATGCTTCATTGTTCACCCTACTATCTGTCCATTCATCCCCTTTTTTTTTTAAATACTTTTTTCTGTTAAATTTGATTGTTTGTCCTACCATCCGTCCAGCCTTGCACCCTTCTGTCCCATCAGTTTGTAGGCCATAGTTTAGGTCCTCTACCCATTAGTCAATACCTCCTTCCTCCTTATAACTGATGTTTGCACTTTTGACCTTTATTAGAATACCTACGGTAGATTTATAAATAAGTTTTGGAATCATTTATTTTTCCTGCTGACCAAGATTGGCTTGAAAACTCTGTTAATATGAGAAAAATTAAGAAAAATACAGAATAGGGACGTAGAAAATGTATGAGGACATTAAGAGTTAGCTGTCAGCTAGGTAAACTGTCGTTTTTCTCTATAATGATGTAGCAGTGAATATTTGACTGCCATACATCCGACGATTTGTCTGTTTACACCACTATCACTCTTCTGTACCTTCCTCCACTCTGTTTTGCAGTTCATTAGTGAACTGTGGCTTTTTACTGAGGGAACATGTGTTATTGCTGTGTTGAGTCAACTCTACAAGTCTGCGTTCAGAGTCATAAACCCACTTGCTTTTACTTCATTGTTGCCAGGGCTCCAGTGCCCACATAATGTAAATTTATATTAAATTGAATAATAAACAATAAGTAGAGATTTGGAAATTTTATCTGCCCAGTTTTTTTTAAATCCAGTGTAGGCTGGTTTGATGGAAATCAGGCAGGAAATTTAGTTGCTTTTATGCTTTTCATTGTAGGATGTTAAAAAGGTGGAACTGGTTTTCATGGTAGCAGTTCTTAATTTTCTACATTAGTTGTTTTTAATTAGCTGCTATCGAGCAGATTGAATTATAAATACAAAAATGTTGCCTTTAGTTCGTGCGGAATGGATGAATTGATAAGTGTATGGTCCAGTGGTTGGAAGGATTGATAGATAAACTAATGATTGAATAAATCGTTGGATTAATAGGGCGGCTGATGGACCAATATGTAATAGGAATAAGTAGTTGAGCTGGAAGTGATGGGCAAGCCAATATGCCCATTTCATCCCTCTGACTGACGTCTGGGCTTGCTAACCCAAGGTTCTGTCTAACGAATTTCAGCACAATTTCCTGAATTTTTTCGAAAATAAGACAATTAGACCAATACGCTGAGTTTTAATGAGCGTTACGCCTTTGGAAACTGTTTTTAAACACGTTTGCTGCCTTATTTGCACATATAACTGAGAAACCTGAACCCATGCCTTCCTGCCCCAACAGCAGACTGAGGGAGCAACATTTGAAAACAGGCGTAGAGTATTTAGGTTTTGAGGGAGTCAAAATTTTGTTCTACATTCATAAACTAATCATGGTGGGAACCCTGATAAGAAGACCGATGGAAGAGCAGAAGGATGCACGGATGGAGGAATGACTACGTACGGAGAATCTGGACATTCAGATATTTTCTTTGTGATCAGGACCTGAAGAATAAGCAAATTTGAAGCTTTTCCAGTGATTAGATGAAACTTTACAAATGGATATTAAATGTGGGTTTGAAATAAACCCCTTTCATTTAGTTTGATCAGAGCTTATGCTCCGCTCATATCTAAACTTTAGCTGCTAAGTTCAGAACCTGAAATGCAAAGTTTGAGTTTTTATTCCAGATTGGACGGTCTTCCTCTGCCCCCCTGCTTCAATGAACCCTGCAATCAACACAAACAGGTTTGCTAATCCTCAGCGTTAGTCAGCAGCGGCTCTGGCCGGTTCAAACGGAGTGCATCTTGTACATCAGCGGACCGTCTTGAGACGTCAGCATTCATTAGGGTCTGCCAGGCTTCACATGCTGACTGTCTAATTTTAGTTTGTCTCTATGCCATGATTAGATGGCCCAGAACAGGCGAGCCAGGCAGCCGGGCTGCTGGCAGCATGAAGGATGAACTTCATTCAGGGGACATAATTAAGTGAAGGATCGGAGGAGGGTGGCGCTGCCATGTGACCGGTTAGGAGGGAGAAGGATGGGCCAGATGAGATAAGATGGAATGAAACTTTAATGATCCCTTTGGGGAAATTGGGTCACTGTGAGACCAAAGATTGGGTCAAAGACTTGATACAGTCCAGAAAATGATAATGCAAACGCTCACAACAGTAATATTTGGATGATGAAGGTAAACCCAACCACTGCTTGCTTTGGTAGTAATTTCAAAGGGTGCATTATCGGTCACATTTAAGCATCTGTGAACGCTGCTCTCTGCTCACTACAACTCCTCCAAACACATCAGCAGACCTCAGCAGGCACCGTCCTTGATCTCAAAACGTCGAAGGCTGGAATGATCCGTTTCCTGGAAAGGTGCAATTAATCACACACGGGGGTGACGTTTCTTTGGACCAAACGCCGTCTCTGAACCCCTCTTTCAGATCCATATCAGCGGCTGTCAGTTTTCCTTCCCCTCTCCTTTTTTTCTGACACCACCATTCTTGTCTCTGCATCGAGCCTTGCGACAGGTTGTGACAGCAGTCTGTTTAGCATGTAAGGTCATTTAAAAAGGTGACGACCACAGCGCGTGTGAGAGGAGGGTGATTGATGTTAGGTTGATCTCTGCTAATTATTCGTGATATCCTGAGGCGAGCGTGTCTGTTAAATGAAGCTGAAAGGGTCACGTGCTAAATGGGACCATACCGGACTTTAGACTTAAGGTTATTGGGTTTTCCTTACCTTAATAAGCCTGGATAGATGGGTGTAAATATTCTAGAGATGCAAACCTTACAAATTGCTTTGTATTTCATAGGAATGTTATCTGATTCACCAACACAAAAGTAAGAAAAATGAAAGGAAGTCTGACCAGCTTTCCTGTCCCAGCAGAAGACAATCCTATAAACATCTAGGCCAAGCTGTTTGGTTCTAGTTTTCTCTAAC